TATTATTATTATTATTATTATCTATATTATTAATCGTAGTAGGAGTAGACAAGGATGTATGGATGGAAAGCACTGTCCCATTTCCACCAAATCGAGGATTCCCGCAGCCAAAGAATACTTTTCGAATACGATTATATAATAACATCGCCGCACACATTATACACGGCTCCACCACTACATACAATACATATCCAGAGAGATCCACCGGCATCTCTTCTTCTTCTTCTTTTTCTTTTTCTTCTTTACATCCATTTATTGTTGATATCTTCTCATTTCCTTTTCTTTCTTTTATTTCTTTTCTTTTTCTTTTTATTTCAGACTGTAATGCCTCTACCGCTATAAACTCTGCATGTGCTAATGCGTGATGTTTCTTATTTGTTGCATTTCGTCCCCGCGCCGCAATGAAAGTTTCTATTTTATTAAAATCATCTTCATTTTCTTCTTCTTTATTTTTATTTTCATCGTAAATGAGAGAAGTGTTTTCCCTGCAGGAGGCCTCCGCCGGCACCAACACACAACCGACCGGCACTTCGCCTTCATTTAATGCGAGTCGAGCCTCCCGCAGGGCCGCACACATAAAGGCATCGCAATAAACAATGGGATCCGACTCTATCATTGTGAGGAATAAATAAATAAATAAATAAATAAATAAATAGAAATATATATATATATATATATATATATATTGAGATGTGTGTTTGTGTAGAGGGAAGGGAAGGGAAGGGGGGAAAACACACACACCGAGTGGAGAGTATATAAGAGAGCGTACAAGGAGGTTTTGAAAGTAAGTCGGAAAAGAAAAGAGAAAAGAGAAAAAGAAAACCAAATAAATATATATATAAAAAGGGAATATTGGTTTCTCATTCCTTCTTTTCTCCCTTTTTCTTTCCCTCTATTACTTCCCAAATATATGCAAGCCAATTAAATTGCTTACATCTCCGAGAATTCACACAATCACTTTCTCTCATTTCTAACGGTCTCTCTCTCTCTCTCTTTATGAACGGCTTACGAGAGACGGTCTTGGGGTTGTTTACGAACGATTTTTTTTTCAATTCTTTTTTTTTTTTTAAATTCTTTTCTTTTCTTTCTCTGTTGTTAATTTCTTTTCTCTTATTCTACCTTTTCCTTTTCTTCTGATTTCTCTGTGTATTACATTCGTATTCCTCAAGCCGTTCCCGTTCTCTCTTTCTCTTCCTCCCCCTTTCACTCATTCACATATATACACATCTATATATATATATATATATATATATATATATATATATATATATATATATATATACAGACCATCTCACTTATTCTCCAGTGAAGATGTTGAATGTCTGTCGGTTTGCATATCCCGCACCTGGACGGAATGCACGACCCGCCACTGGCGCTCCCTGTTCATCCTTCTGTACTTGTTGTGATTGTTGTTGT